TAGTATTTTTGATAATTTTAATAATTAATACTTTAGTAGTTAGTTGGATTTTCTTGATGCTAAATCAATATTTCAGCTTTAGCCCACTAATGCGTATTACTAGTTCATATGACATATGTAAAGTGTCGACATGTTTAAAGAACGAAGCAGAAAAAAATTATGTATACTACTAGGTCGGCATAAAAGTTGTTTGCTTACACTAACAACCGCAAATTGTAAATAAATTTAGAAAAGAAACAAGTAAGAAAACTCAACTCGAGTGTGCTCGACTAGATACTACCCTGAACCAACCTAATCAAAAAACACATTTAGCATGGCTCAAAATTGCAATTTTGATATGTTTTAAAAATATAAATGAAATAGAACACTCATTAGCTTATACAGTGTAAAATATTTATATGTACTAATGTTAAATCTATTAAATTCCTTGTCCTGAATACTCTACTTTGAATACTAGAATACCAACTATAAGCTACAAATTGCCTCAAAAGACCTAGCGCTAATATACATACATACATATATGTGTATGTATACATTAGATAGATTTAAACAATGTCTTTTATTGTCACTCTCAACTGATTACCCATGTTAATTAGCAAAAGTCAAAAAAACGATAATTAACTAAAAAGTAAATGAGAGCATAGGCTAAAAACGTCTTGAATAAGTTTACATTGGAGCGAGCTCAATGAGCGAGAGTAAATGAAGCCTTCAAACGGAATGAAAATGATGCCAAAGCAAAGAGGCGTTGAATCACTCGAGATTATGCATGCATTTTCTACTTCGCATTTGATTGGCTTGACAAAATCAGTGCGATGCCAGCGCTCAATCATACAGATCACATTTTCATATGCTATGCACCTTAATAAGGAGTCCTTATGATCTTTCCCTCTCTTTCAATTGTGCAGAAATCGGTTCGCGACAACCATGCACACACACACACTCCTTCTCTTTAAATCATTCCGAATTAGTTATACTGGCATCTCACTTGACCTTTAATATTTTTATTCAATAAAACATTACGGGTTGATTTATAGTTTTTTAAAGGTAAACTTGGCATCAGCGCTATATATACGGTCATTAAAAAAAAAAAAGAAATGCAAGGGTCTAGCTCTTATATTCTCTGAGATCGACGCGTTTAAACATACGGAAAGACAGGCAGGGCCAAGTCGACTCGCCTCGTCGTTCTGATCAAGAATATATGTATATACATTGTGGGGTTTTCCACGCCTCCTTCTGCCTGTTACATACATTTTAACAAAACCATTATACCCTGATTTCCCCATTTCAATGGGTTCAGGGTATAAAAACAACAACAAGCCTATGCCTAGAACAGCAGCGACAACAAGCAACTACGAAAGTCGTTAAACAGAGCGTAAATATATATACATATGTACATACATACATATTTATATACTCGTATATATCCATATTTGTAAGCAAATGAGGGAAGTACTTCAATTCGACTAGAGAAAAAGGGGCGTGCGTCAGTCGAGAACAAAATTCACGCAATAAAAAGTAAAATAAACTAGAAAAAAAAGTTGAACAGAAAATGCGCCGGTAATGATGACTGGGAAACACTCTTGACCATTCCCGAAATATTAAAAAGTTTAGTTGTTCCACTTCAGATTATGCTGATTTGAACTACTAAACTCATCAGTGAACTATAAAGTTAAGTGGCTCAATTGATTATGAACGATTTGTTTAAATATTTTGTGGGTCCACTTCAAAGTAATAATATTTGAACGAGTCATTCAAATGAACTACTCAGCTCGCTCAGTGATGATAGTGAATGATAAAGTTAATTTGTTCAATTGATTACTATCAATTCATTTAAAAGTTTAGTTCATCCACCCGAGAATATATTCATTTGAACAATTCACTCAAGTGAGCAACTAAATTCTTTTATTCATTAGTCAACAGAAAAGTTCACTTCTTCAATTGATCATAAACGAACAAGTCATTCAAATGAACTACTATTCTCATTCACAGCTAAGTGACCGATAAAATGAACTATGTAATTAATATTTATCAGTTTCCCTTTATACTCTGTTCATGAAAAGTTATTCAAATGAACTAGTAAAGTCATTCAGGAAATGATAAATTTCAAATCAATGAAACGTAAAATTCGTTTACTAAATTAACAATTCATCAGAAATGTATATTTGTACATTTGAAATTAACTAGAAACAATAATGTTATAAATAGCTATAAATGCTTGTATTATTTATTTAATATTTATTCATTAACTACCAACTGAACGAATTAGTTCTTATTAGGAAAATTACCGAGTGAACTTGACTTCCCAAAAGTTCTTATTGATCGTTGACCTTGACTAGCACTTTGACCATGAAACTAGTCATAATCTTTAGGGAGTTCGCGGTATAAGCCTTATCAAAAGCTGCGCCAAAATTTAACTTGATTATAAAACATTTTCTTTCGATTTCTAATTTCCGCTCAGATTATATTAGAGTATACATATCCTATAATTTTTAATATAAATATATATATAGTTTGCAATACCTGACTACAATCAATCTGAATACTTCCATTAGGCTCACGTTGCTAATCTTAGTCTTTCATTTTTGTTGTCGAGGGCTCGGTTCGGTGGCGATAAAACTAATCAGTTAATACGCTTTAATTATTGGGGTAGGAAATGTTATGATAAATCGATTAATACTCTGAGATGACGTAACGACTATTATGATGGGCATATGGCCCACTTTTCAGTCCTCAGAATTAAAGGGTATCAGCAGAACGGTAGGTCTGCAAATTGAGTCATTATTGCCACGTGATAAGCTATGCAAATGAAGTAGTTGAGCAGCCACTGGTGAGCTTGCAATTACCACAGTGTCCGCTCAACTGTGCGTGTGCGTCACTTGTGACTGCAAAACTGCAGCTGCAAACGGCTGTCACAGCGCTTAACGTTTGCTCGACTAATTTGTCAGTGCGCATTACATGTGTAAGTGCGACCCAGAGCAAATCGCTCCACATTAAACACTTTTATGGCTAATCAGTGGGTGGAATCGGAATTGCGTGTTAAACCCAATTGGACACCAAGCTACGCCCACAAACACACACAAAGAGCACACCCTTGCCAACTCTCACCTCGGCTGTGCTCAATGAATGTAAACATTCAAATTTCTATAGGCAAAGTTGTGGAAGTATTGTACCGAGTGCTGCATCTGTGCAATTGTGTATGTGTATGTGTTAAATGAATGCAATTTAAGCATTAATTTAAATGCAGCAATTGGCATTAAGTGATAACAACAACTCAGCAGCGAAAACAACAATCACAACAAAAGGGAATGATAATAGCTCCAACTGTTAATTTCACTTTTATTTACATATCGCAATCATTGACAAATTGGTGCACACATACACATATAGACGCGCGCAAACACAGACAGACAGTTTGAGAGTCTGGCGGGCAATTGGTTCGTGTATGCCAGTGGCATAAATAAAATTTAATTGTATGTATTTTCTTCCTCTCTGCTCTGCGGCTTTGTTATTGCTCTCGCGTCAGCAAATGCGGGAGGCATGCGTGACTCTGACTTAGATTCTGAATCAGAATACCACCGCATGATATCATGACTCGCAGTGCAAACCTCACACACACACACACAGACTGTTTATTTTGTTAAGGACTTGAACAAGAGTTCTCATATTACATCACCGCATAAAAAAAAGGCAAGAAAAGAGAACTATTTGTAAACAGCTCTTGGTAGAGAATGCAACGAAGAGTCGAATGATATAATGCACGCACACAAGTTTATTATGTGGATGTATGTGTGTATTGTTTTGCTTCTCAATGTGTGTATATGTATAGTGTGCCTGTGTGCTTCACCAACCTGTAGCGCTTCCTGCTGACTCCGGTTGATGTTTGACTCTTCTTTTTTGTTGCTGCCGGCAAAGGAATTGCACAGACGGCGTAGGCAAATCAATTTAATTAATTTAATAATTAAAATAAATAAAACGATCTGGGGAATAGCACAGTAAACACACGCACGAAACGAATAACGAATAACGAGGCGGCGGACCACGCGACTAACAGGACCGACTCAACCGACACAGCCAACAGATGAGAAGTGAGTGAGCAGAGAGAGACTGACGCTGACTGATTCACAACAAGCGTTCGTGCTGCGAACCCTACCGTGTTTATAGGGAGCGACGGCCACTCACACACGCACACGCACGGCAATGTGGGAGCGCTGGTAGTTATATATTTACACACACAAGTTAATAGGTTTGCGCGAGCCCGCAGGCTGAGCTCAATGTCAAGCGCCAAGTGCGAGCGAGTCGGCAGCCGAGCTGCCGGCCGGCATCTTTAACAGATAAAATAATTCTCTGTGTGCGTGTGTGTGTGTGTTTGCATGCAAGAGCGTAAGAGAGAGAGAGAAAGGTGCGCAGATGGTGAGCAAACATACAAATTTGCTAGAGCATTCAAAACTGTAGCAAAGACAAATACGATAGGAAAACAGAAAAGAATACCGGCCAGTTACTTGTCGGTTTGATGCTTGTCGGTTTGTGTCTACGCTAAACCAGGCAGACAGCTGTTAGTTAACATAGCACTATTTAACGTTTGCCGATTAAAAAATTTTTTATTTAATTGTTTTTAGTTATTAAATATTTAAACTTTAACGACAACCTTTTTAATTTCCCCTATTTTCCCAAAATAAAAGTCTTTAAAATGTATTATCGTAATAATTTTATTTTGAAAGAGCAGAAATATCGTTTCGCCATTCAATTGGCAGGGTATTAGTGTCGTCTAATTGATTATTGTGATCCGATCTGATCTAATTTGATCTGATCCGATCTGATCTGATACATGTATGTATATCGTGTGTCCAGTGTTAATTATATTACTAATTTGACTCGGTTATACAAAGCGCAGATGAACTCTCATAAGGGTAAGTAAGGGGCACATAGAATCGTACAAAAAAGAAGAAGAAACAGCATATTAGGATCGTAACTCTATATATGTATGTATATATAGTTAGTTGTTGCAGCACATATGTAACGCTTATACGCCAGCTATGGCCAGTTCAACCGAATATCTTGTCGAAGCAGGCGTGGCAGTAGGGCTTATCCTTCTGCTCCTTGAACGTGCCCTTGTTCAGCTGCTTGAGGCAGAAGGCGCAGACGAAGTGTTCCGGATGGAATTTCTTGAACATGGCCGTAATGCAGCGCCCCGTTATGGGCTTCGAGCAGCCGGCGCAGAGCGAGCCACGTTTGGCATGATAATGTGTCTCGCAGTACGGTAAGCCCTCGTGGTCAAAGAACGAGCCGCCCTGGAACGGTTGTCGACAGTCCTGCAACACACAAACCAAAAATAATACAAATTAATACAAAATACATATTCTACATGCACTTTTACATTATTCGCATGTATTAGTTGATAATTTTAGAACTAATGGCATAATTAAGGTAAGTCTAACTGCGCCATCGGCCCAGCTTCCTGATCTATTTTCGAAGGTGTCTGCTCGCTCGGCAGGTTGCACAAATTCAAATTCAAAATCAAATTAAATGCTAATTACATTCATAAATTAGCTGCCAGTGAGCTATTTCGAAAATTTCTGAAATTGTGAAAGTCTGAAATGTGCCAAGCGAATTATTGAAATGGCGATTGACAGATGCTTTTGTACCAGTGTGCACAGTGTGCAAAGTATGTATACAATTTTGGCAGTATTTTGCGACAATTGAATTTTGTTTTGGAAAAACATTTCTACAACAACAACAACAACAACAACAACAAGACGTAGAAACCGCTTCAATTTAAACAATAACATTTTGCGCACGCTTTTGGCTGAGCGCCAAGTCCAAACGAATAGATATAGCAACACAGAGAGGCAAATAACTGTACATATATAGATTATATATAGATTATAATATATGGTAGCAATTAAATAATACCGTTATAAAACATTGCCTTGGTAAATGGAAATGGACTTTATATATCTGCTTTGTTTTAGTTACTTGATATGATATTTATAGATATAACAAATATATATGATGTATGTATATATAGAAGATAGCCTTTAAAAATATTATCAGAACCCGTCTAGTGCATATATACTCTCTTCTTCACTTTGATCACCTTTATAAAAACAATAAAACCTAATTAGAAATCCCGAAGGAGATTGTTCTTTTTATAGATCTATTAAGTCTATTTAAAAAACCATTTCATTGTTCTTTAATACAATGGTAACCTTGAGGCTTCACAAGTCAGGTGGCTTCGACTTGCTGATACCCTAGACTGATGCTAAGAACATGGGCAAATATATAGTTCTAGTTCTATTCAGATGAAGGGATATTTCTCTAATTCTCTTGAAAATCAACCAGATTAAGCAATGTGCTTATAAAATTAGTAAATGAAGGTAAAACGCTTAATTCGTAGCAGACAAGAAAATAGAGACGAAGAAAGTTTGCATAGGATAAGTAAATAAAAGTATCTGGCTCTAAGCCCTTTAAGGTTTTCTGTGATACGAGAACTAGTTTGACTAAATTGTAGAATATAATATATTTGATTTACTATGCCAAATCTATTTGATCAATGTATTCAATGTAGTCCATATAGGTTTTAAAATTTCGTTTGAGCTGTGAGAAGAGAAATTCGGAAGGTCCTTCATGGGTATCGATCAACTTTACTTATATACGAAGCTCAAGGAACATGAACTGTATATATGTATGTATATTTAAAGAATTTAAGAAATGGAGCTCTGCATATTCCTCAATGAATGGGTGACCTAAAACTTTGAATTAAAATCGTTGATTAATGATTCTGAATACGCAGGTAATGGATTGGAAGACCATTTTAATATGCAATTCCTTAGCGAGCAATGAAGATCTTAATAATTGGGGAGATTTGGCCTTATATAAAGTATTATTATTTTTATTGGTTGTTTAACAATTTTAGCAAATAAAACTTTTAAGTGACTGTAAATGCTTAATATGAATGGAGTATCGCACGTTTAACACGAGAGATCTGTTAAGCCTATGAAAAGGTTGACCTATCAACAAAGGAAAAATGGTATACGCTTAAATGTTGCTTCCACCTTTTATATTAATACAGTTAAAATGGGAAGCCACCTTTGGAATCATCATAATAATAAATAAATACTGAAAGCGCTCTAAAGCTGAATAATTCATAGATGGATGTATTTTGTTTGAAATAAACACAACGATTCGAATGGCAGCCAAATTTAGCGCTGATATATTTGAAATATTTAATTGGAATTTCCATAGAATTTTGAAAGAGAATCCGTTTGAGTTTCTATAAATATGCACAGTTTGAAAGCTATGCAGTCCGAGTGTATTAGTCAAATGACAAATGAATAAGGGAGCATGGGAATCTCGACTCTGTCAGGGAACACTCTCATGGAGAGCATTATTTTATAGGGGAATATTGTTGTGAGTGCAGATAAATTGTTATACATTTTTATATACAGTCGAAATCATTTGCTGATTTCTCGTTTGTGTTTTATATTTATGAGCGAGAAACGTCAGCAACCAAAATAGTTTCCACCCGTGGGCGGGGTCAAGGGGAGACGGAGATGGGGGTGGGGTATTGTTGGTATTGCGGTTAATCTAATCCGAAAATCTATGTAGCAATAGTGTAAATTGTTTGCAACTGAGCAACAACAACAACAACAATTGAAGGTCGTGGCACATGCGACATTCCAGCTCAAGGTCAGCGATATTGACTCTGATCTTGAACTGCGCCAAGGTCTGGCTGGACTCGGAGCACTGGGACCGGGACTAGAACTGGTCAGCAGATCCACCCTTGCGCAGCTCCATTTGCCAAGACTTTTCAATTGTTGTTTTCGAGTTAATTTTTGTTGTGTTTCTATTTTTTGTTTGTTTTTTAATATAATTTAATTATTTAAATTTTATTTACAAAAACAAATTACAATATTGCTTCATAAATGTTTAAATTTAAAAAATACCTAAAAACTTACAACTAAATTGCATATAGAAAACTTCAACAGTTTCAAAGGGGGCAGGGAGTGGGGCGGGGTTACTCTTAGCAGGGGGAGGCAAGCCATGGCCGAGGCCATCATAATAGCAGGGGGCAAAGCGTGCTGCAGGGGCGGACATAGCCGACCCGCCCAGTTGCCTGGTGGTCAGCCGTGTCCAGGCCCCCACAGAAGCCAAAGACGTGGGGGCAGATCCTTGAGTTGCTGTTGTTGCTGTTGCTGTTGTAGATGCTGCTGGATAGGGGCAGGTGGCTACACAAGTCGTGGCAAGCGCTGAGCCCCGACAATATTAAAAAGATTTTTCACATTTTCAACGAAAATAGCCCCCAAAGAGAATGGGACACGGAAAGAGACAGATTGAGAGTGAATGCGAGACAGAAAGTGGGACGCAGCTGCCGCTGGGTAAACAATTTCATGTAGATACAATTCGTATCCGGACGGGGGCTATTTTCGTGCTGCTGAACTTCAACAAGTTGTCGCTGCTGCCGCTGCCGCTGCCGCTGCCTCTGCTGTTGCTGTTGCTGGGTTATGGACGCCTATTCCTCCTCATCGACGCCCACACACTGCGGACAGACCGGCTTGCCCTCCATGGCATAGAAGGACTTGCCGCGCACAGCCTTCTTGCAATCCTAAATGTCGCATAATCACATAATCAGAATCAAAAGAATAATCATGTAAAAAGAGAGCAAACGATGGCCAGAGAGCTGTGGTGAGCTCTATAGCTGGTGCTTACCCGGCAGACGAAGCAATCGGGATGCCACTGCGAGTTCAGGGCGGAGATGTAGTTCTCCATGATGGCACGGTTGCAGCCATTGCACTTGGGCGCGAACATCTCGAAGTAGTCGTTGCGGCAATAGGGCTTGCCGTCCCGCTCATGGAAGCCATCCTCGCCGAACTGCTGGCCGCACTGGGCGCAGAAGAAGTGCTCGGTGTGCCAGGTCTTGTCCAGTGCCGTCACGCACTTGTCCAGAATGGCGCCGTTGCAGTAGGCGCAGCGCGGACTGAACAGATTGTGATAGTCGGGCTCGCAGTAGGGGAAGCCGTCGCGCTCGAAGAAATTGCGCGTGCCCAGCTCCTGGCTGCAGTGATTGCACGTGAAGTGCTCCGGATGCCAGGTCTTGCCCAGGGCGGTGATCACCTGGCCGACAATCGGCTTCTCGCATGCATTGCAGCAGCCCTTCTGCACTGTGTTGACTCCCTGACGACTCATGTTCGCCTGCAAATTGCCAAGCATACAATCCAACTGATCCTCGCGACTGTCCTCGACTATGGTCGTCTCCTCGATCGTCTGCGTCAAGTGCGCCTGCTGCTGTGTGCCCCGGTTCGGCTGTGCGTAGTCCGTCACCTGCTGTTGGTGCTGATGCTGATGATGCTGCAGCTGCTGTTGCTGTTGCTGTTGCTGTCCCGTCGAGTACTGCTGATCGTATGCTCCGTTGCTACCGTTGCTGCTGACCTGCAAGAGCAAACCGAATCGATTGAGATTTTAGTTGATCAGAGCCAAAGAAAATAAATATTTATCCGTTCCGTGTTCTTACGTCGTTGCTCGATGTGCTCGGCTCGACTGAATTCAATTTTATGCGCGCGCCAACAGAATAACTTTTGCTTTTTGCTATTTTTTCCTTCACGAGACGCGCCTCAACAACATTTTCTTACAACAAAGTTGTTGTTGCTGTTGCCGTAGTTGTTGCTATAGTTAGTGTGTGTTTTGTGTGTGCTTCGTTGCGCACGACGCTCTTCTCATAAATACGCGCCTGAGCAGCATTTCTAGTTGACGTAGTTTTTGTTCATTGCCAAAAATACGAAATAACCAAAAACAACAGCAACAACAACAAGACCAAGACGAACACAACAACTACCTATTTAAATTTTCATTTTTCCTCTGTCTGTCTGTCTGTCGCTCTGTCTGCTTTGGCTGCTCTTTAAATTTGTATACGAATGAATTTTACTTGTGTTTCTTGTGTTTCGGCGTGTCGTGCGAGTTTCCATTTCAATTTTCTCCAATTTTCTTTCATAAACTTTGCATATATACATGCATATATTTACATAGGTATATTTAAATTTATATATATGTATACTATTCTGTTGCTGCTCTGTTGTGTCTCTGTACAGACTAACCTAGACGCCTAATTGAGTGCTATACTCTGTAAGTGTGTATGTGTGTTTTCCCATCTCTTTATCTATTTAAGCCCAGTGACGTTTCAACGATAGGAGGCGCCTAAATCATAGCATCATATTGTTATCTTAATGAATGGAGGAATTTATATAGAGACGTCTATAAATAGATTGTTTAGATAACATATATTGTATGCACCATAAATAATTCGATGAATTGGCTAGATAAGGAATTTGACTGGAATTTCGAATATGTGCCTCAAACTCCATCAAATTTTACTTAGAAGATGAATATTGGAAACGGAATACTTTACGAGAGTTTATAAATAGATCGTATAGTCGATAGGGATTACTCATGTTATTGGCGTATATAAATATTTTAAAGAATGATATACTACTTCGGATTATATTTACTTTAAGGGCTTGGGACGTACATCTTTTTAATTGATTTTAGAATGTTTGGTAAAGTAGATATGGAATATAATATTCATTAAATGTGTATGATATCAGAATTTACTTTTGCGATGTCTTTTTGGCACAGATCCAGAAAGAAATTAATATTCAAATCTATTTATCAGACTAGGGTTTTTGATAGTAAAATGGAAAATCAAGTTTAGTCACATAAGAAACAATACATTTACTTAAAGTCAATTCTCTCCTCTTCTCTCTTAATTTCTGTCCAGCTTTCATCTATCTATTTTCTCCTTTTTCATTATTTTCCTTTAGTTTCTTCCGTCCCTCACCCATTTATAGATCATATATATCAAGTGACTTCATATTCACTTTTATGCATTTATCATCTTTAATACTCAATCAAATCTATACTAGTTTAATATTCAATTTTTTAAATATAATGAAGAATAAGCCTCTAAATGATTCTTTAATAAGCCAGTAGAGAAGATAACGTGATCGCAGCGCCCATTGCTGAAGTAGCCCGCACTCCGCCACCCAAGTCCAAATGATTTGGTTAATTTCTTGTTTTTCTTTAGCTTTGGCGGCTTTTTGGATGCTATTTAAAGAATCCAATGTGTGGCTGCGTCTGTGATCAGAAGCTCATTGTGGCGCTATAAAGCTGAAAGCCAGCCAATTGGCCAACAGGATTCCCCCATAATAAGCGCAAGGGGACGTTTGTTTGGCACACGCTGGCCAAAACAGAGATGCAGTCGAATTGGTTACTCAATCATGGGCAGCGGAAAAGGGGGAAGAGTTAGGGACTCGAGGCAGGAAGATGCCAAGAGGAAATTTCGATCAATGAGCGACTTTTATGAATGGGGGCAGAGAGGCAGGCACAGCTGCTAAAGAGCCCCCATAGACAGTCAGCAGATTGCCAATTCGGGGCGGCAATGAAAAAAAAAGGCATACAAATTATAGTGTATATATAGATACACATATACAGAAATAAATATAGACATATAGACACACATACTGAGAGAGATCTATTCAAATGGAAGAATATTAAAAAACGTGTTCAAAAATAGCCATGCAAATGATTTGCAATGAACAAGCCGAAGAAACTGAAGCAAAACCAAAATCAAAAATAAAAATCATAATAAATAAATAGAAAAAACTATAACGAGCGCTCCGTGAGAATGTGTTGACAGTGGTGACCCGAACGGGCGGCGGTGGCAATTGGCGGGGGCGTGCTACCAACTGACTGCCAGTGTCGTGTGGGCGCCCACCGATGCCCCTCCTCCTCCTCTCCAAGCACCGCAAAGAGCCTAAAAACCAAAGCAGTTGTGAGGTGCCGTGTGCAATATTGTTTATATATTTCTCGTGTATTTTATTTTTTGCGCCTTACACACACACACGCACGCACACACACACTTGCTTAGAATAAGCCAATTTCATTTTCATATTTATCATCTCTTTGCGGCATATCAACAAAAGTCACGGACACGCCAAGACTCGCAGCGATGGCAAAAATTGAAAATGATATTAAATAATTAACAGACACGGCCACACAGACAAACACACGCACACACACACACACACACTTATATATTTGTGTATATTCAGATTTTCTTTATGATCTTTCGTCAATGACATTGAATTGCAATTTTCATATTGTCTGCCCGCTTTCCCCCCGCCCATCTTACGCCGGCTAAGGCGCGACCCTCGCCAGTAGCCAAGAATGTCGAGAAAAAGAGAATATAATTAATTATTAATTAATTAGTTGCTAGCAGTAATCCAAGCAACAGACGACGAATGTGCCAAATTAAATGCATTTCAACATAATTTGCCAAAATTGTGAAGATTATCTGCAAGTTCTACGTTCAGAGTTTCCTTTCAAATGTTTATATTTTTAACTCTCAGACGTCATTTTATAACCCGAATTCAACTGTGAAATTGTATTAGTTGCGCTTTGCTTTTGAAAGCAAATTTGCCGAGAATCACCGACCAGATAACACCCGGACTAGATTATCAAAATAGTTCATACGAAGTCCCATTTATGTTTCGCAATCGTGAGGTGCTTCGGCGTATGTAATCAGATATCAGGTATCATGCAAACTAATCGAAACACGCCGACTAGATCATATTCTGAATAGATTATTTAATTAGTTTATAAGAAGTCCTATTCTTGTTCCTTTTACGCTTCTGCATATGGAATACCAGAATGTAAAGTTATACCTAGATAACACCCTGACTAGATTATTGTTTGTGGAATCTCGAAATTAATTATAAATCCATAATATGTATATTCCACCCTTTAGAGGTGAACATCAACCAATTTGTATTTACAATCTGTATATAGATACTTATATCCTTTTTATGTGGCACATCTTCTGCTTTCTGTTACATACATTTCTCCAAGTCATTCATACCCCGTTTACCCCTATAGGCATGTAGATATGATAGTATGAAGGAAGAGCACGAGACCCATACTTTGCGAGATTTCGCCCAGACTCATCTTTAACTTGTCTTCCACAGAGTATTTCTAAATTTCAGTTAAAAAACATATACCAAGCAGTTCTTGACTAAAGCAGAGTTACTGAATAGCTAGGAAATATAGTTTCTTTTTTTTCAAATAAAATTAGCTGTATAATAAAAGGTACCATATTTCATGTTTCACTACGAACTCAATAGACCTAGACATATACTTTCTTGGAAAATCCCTAGGAGTTCCGAGCAACGTAATTGTAAACCCAAGCTAGAAATCCCACTATATATTTGAAATATATTATATATAGGCAGACATGTTAGAGCAGTAGTACAAGTAATTTGTAAAAATTTAATTTTGCTCTAATTTTATCAGATTAAAAAAAAAGTCTATTATCATATGTGTATATTATAAATAAAAGTATAGTCAGATTATAATACAAACATCAAAAATAAATATTGCGCTTTGTACTGCCTATCTTTTTATACTCATTCACGAAAGTGCATTAGTATATTGGTTTTGTGCAATGTCCGTCTTGCTGTCCGCCCGTCTGTCCGTCTCTCCGTATGAACGCAGTTTATTTTGGCGCTATTGAAGTTAAAGACTTGAAATTTGGGATACATACTAGTGTATATCTACGATTTATAAAGTGGTAATATTTTCCCGATCCGTCCACAAGGGGCGTGGAAAATCGGAATGATCCAAAAATAATACCCTGTAAATTTCATAATTTTTGAGCGTAAGCATTCAAATTTCGCAGTTGGGGTACCGTTAGCTCGTTTTAAGAACTGAAAATGAGGTGTCTACGCCCAGTAGGGGCGTGGCAAATCGGGAAAACCTGAATGCTCTACAGTCTAAGAGCGAAACTTAACTACTAAATTGCTGATGGGATGTGAATGAGTATTCCGCAGCCGGTAACGCCCGACTGCAACGTTCTAACTTGTTCTGTTTAAAATCGTAAAAAGCAAAACATTTCAGCGTCCGCCACAAATGAAATACACTGAAATACATTGCCCTCTGCAAAACTTAACACACGACATATTTGGGGTCTGTCTGTTTGGCATTTAATGGATTGCCTCTGTTTTATTATGCACTCAAGCTAATTAGCCGGGCTAGGAGCCGTATAGCTGTCAAGTTGCAGCAGGCACCAAGGGCACACATTGAGCGTACTCCATGGGAATAGCCATTGGACCTTGACATACAATATGGAGAAAATTTAAACAATAACAGGACAGCTGTTGCTGTTGCGCTATTGTTGTTGTCATATATGGGACGAGCGCGTGCTTTACGAGAGAAAAAATAGACGAAAAAACACGAGAAATGACAACAAAATGCAGAGCACATCTGCTCAGATATATCATCATCATCCATCCGTTGTACACAATGTCAGAAAGTTCTAAAAACAAATGTCCGAACTGCGAGATGCGGAAAAATAATATAAGTCCCACAAAAACTAAATACATAATCAACAGATGCAGAACTATCGAAACGATGCTAAAGAAACTTTATTGGATACAGTTAGAATAGACAATCTTAGACGAAGGACCGATGCTAATAGAATTTGGACGAACTATTTGAATATTTGCTAAGGTAAATAATTGCTAATTAAATAATTATATATTGTATTTGTCTATATATATATATATATTGTATAAGAACGAATTTGATCAGGATAACAAGACAAACTACTCATTCATGGAAGACATTCATTTAAATACATTTTATTCAAATAACTAACATATCAATCAATATCAACAACAACAAAAAATTTGTATAGATATCTTTATGTATGTATAGATTGATATATCAACTAACAGTTTCTCTATAGCCTTTAACTCCTTGCGTTACGTAGTTTCTAAAGAAATTAGCATGCCCTCAACAGAAGCAAAACATTTGTTTACTTTATGATCGCTGACTGATTGTTTTATGTACCTAGAGATACCCATTGAGTATTTATGGTAGGATATAAATAAAAAAATCACTCAAATTTGACAATGATTTGAAATTGTATAGATATGTGTATGTGAATTTTTGCAGAAATTCAAAGTTTCACCTTCAATTTGGTTTCAACATAAGTCAAAGTCAAGAGCTCAAGATTTTATAAAGCGAGAGAGAGAGAGAGAGAGAGAAAGAGAGAGAGAGAGCAGATATACTACAGGTAGAGGGCAAACATAGGAACGTGTATATCATTAGATGTGCTTGAGCGATATGCGTCACACGATTTGACATGATAAATTTGTTCATTTTATAGTTTTTATTACATTTATGAACAAGTCCGAAGAAGACTCTAGTCTCCCTCTAATCTGATATTCTAATCATTCTGCACTTCTTTTCGGCACACATACATACACACGCACGTATTAGAACGCGATCTGCTAACAGCGCAATAAGCAGCGACTGCGCTTGGGCTGCGCTGCAGTGTGGGCAACATTATAAGAATTTATTTGTTGAATAATTTAATTTCTAGACGTACAATCTTAATGAAACTTTCAGAACATAATCATAATGTTCAAATGTATGTACATTCCAAAGCACAAGTCTCTA